CTGAGTCGGACTGGAGCTCTCTGCCCTTTACCAATCCAGCCACGGGCCCATCCATCTGGCCCATCAAGACTCACTCTCATTTCATCAGTCCATAAAACCTTAGAAAAATCAGTCTTGAGATATTTCTTGGCCCAGTCTTGACGCTTCAGCTTGTGTGTCTTGTTCAGTGGTGGTCGTCTTTCAGCCTTTCTTACCTTGGCCATGTCTCTGAGTATTGCACACCTTGTGCTTTTGGGCACTCCAGTGATGTTGCAGCTCTGAAATATGGCCAAACTGGTGGCAAGTGGCATCGTGGCAGCTGCACGCTTGACTTTTCTCAGTTCATGGGCAGTTATTTTGCGCCTTGGTTTTTCCACACGCTTCTTGCGACCCTGTTGACTATTTTGAATGAAACGCTTGATTGTTCGATGATCACGCTTCAGAAGCTTTGCAATTTTAAGAGTGCTGCATCCCTCTGCAAGATATCTCACTATTTTTGACTTTTCTGAGCCTGTCAAGTCCTTCTTTTGACCCATTTTGCCAAAGGAAAGGAAGTTGCCTAATAATTATGCACACCTGATATAGGGTGTTGATGTCATTAGACCACACCCCTTCTCATTACAGAGATGCACATCACCTAATATGCTTAATTGGTAGTAGGCTTCGAGCCTATACAGCTTGGAGTAAGACAACATGCATAAAGAGGATGATGTGGTCAAAATACTCATTTGCCTAATAATTCTGCACTCCCTGTATATGTATTGTGGGCTGATGCATACAATAGTCATTGCTGATGCCCATGAGTAGTGGGACTTTGAGAGCAGGGCTTCATTTTGTATGTTTGTGCATACAGCAAAACTTATGTGGATAATTGACCATCTCACCTGTATGAGCATGTTAGACGTTTCATTCCAAAACTATGGGCATTAACATGGAATTGGTCTGGCTTGCAGTTGGTATTCCATATTATCTTAAAAGGTAGAGGTCAGGGCTATGTGTAGACCACTTCAGTTCCTCAACACGAAACTTGTCAAACCTTGTCTACATGGATTCCGCTTTTTGTACACGGGCGGAGTCATGCTGGAACAGGAAGGGGTCTTTTTACAAGTCAGGTTTATGAATAGGGTGTCACTGATTGGCTGAGAGCATCAGCTGACTGATCTCAGCCAGTCGGTGTTGCTGCTGCCTGATTCTACAAGATCCTTCCAGTTGAATAATTTTGAGAAAATGGAAGGGCAGAGACGCAGAAACATTTGGCACCTTAACACAGACTTTGGGGTTAAACGATTTAGGAATGGTTTAACCTTTACGGTGAGCCAGCACCAGGTATCTCTTGGCTCCATAACAGCTTAATTTACTGGAAGTTGTTATGATACCCAAATGTTCCCTTTAATTCACAATCAGCACCTCATTCTTTACAGAATCCTAGCTTGAATTCAACGATTCCTTCTGAGGAAAGTAGGCATCCATACATAAAGCTAATCAGTGTGTCATCACCATAAGTAGGGGTGCTTGGTTGTCCAAAGCTGACATTTCAGATGCATGTAAGTTATTAACAATAAATCCTGCTTTGTGGAAATTACACATTCTGAAAAGAAAGGAATCACATTACTTTGCTACCAAATTAACTTTTGATTCTAACAGTATCCCTTTGCTTTTTGATATAGTCACATACATTGTCCTACTGTTGTTTCCTTTAGGAATTATGTTCATATCGAAATTGCAGGTGAAATTAGGTAAAAGGGCTTTACTTTGGCTCCTGACATTATGTTGCTCAACCACATGCCCTTTTCTATATCCAAGCTTTGATTTTAAAAATGTCTTTGACCAGCCACCTCCTAAGCCACTTATCCCATTACTCTGGAAAAAAACATGCTTTCTCCAACCTCCAGCAG